TTTAGGACTTTTGTACTTGGTTGCTGCTTTACATAGGTTGCTAAGCCTTTAAAAATATTGTATGTGGAGTATATGAAACAAAATAATTTTTTTAGGTTTTATATATACATTTGGATAACTAAAAAATCATACATTACTACATCAGTACCATATAATTCAGTATAATTTATCAAGCTTAGTAACTAAGATGTGTTTTAGTCTAAAAAAATATGAAATTTCTAGCAGATTAAAGACACACCCTATCTTGTTGAATATTGGTTCCAAAAAAGGAATGGTGCCAAGTATGTTAAAATGGCTGAGAAAGCCACTAGGGGGACATTCTGAGCTTCCAATTGGTTATTCATGTCATATATATATAAATAAGTGTATATAAGGGAGCGTTTCCAAAAATATAAAGAGGTGGGTGGGATGCCAATGTGTTTGATATATTACATGAGCAATATCTTAGCAAATTGAAAAGATAAGAGTCTTTTATTTTATATTCTAGCTTGTCAGTATTGGTAATTTGAGTTTCAAATTCATTCGAAGCTATAGACTTAGTATTTTGACTTCACAAACATCTAAATTGAACCAGTGCTGCATTCAACATACACACAAAAATTGATGTTTATCTGCGTTTTTTTTAATATTTGCTTTTAAATTAAGAAATTGAGTAATATATAGTACTAAAATTTGAATTATAATCTACAGTTTGGTACCAAACTTATTGACATAAATTCATGAAATAGTAGTTCAATAAGATTTTGAATGCGAGTCAACAAATGAGATGACATGGCCTTTCACATGTGACCCATCTCGAAAGTGCTGTGGCATAACCCATTCTTCTGTTTTTGTGTCACGATACATTGTTGCAGTTCTATAATGTGATGCAGAAGAATCATAAAATTATTAAAACAATATGAAAAATAGCAACCATGGTGTTTCAGTGTTACCATAATATTCTGATAGCCCTCTGAACTGTTGGCTAAAGAGAGTTATCACGTGCAAAGTTCTAGTATCAAGAGCAAAAACAGTCAGTTACACCTTACTCAACATAAATGAGTGAAACATGTGTTGAAAGGACTATTAAACTTGTTGAAAGTGGAGTATCCGATCTCTATGTGGTAGTTGCCATTGATGTTTCCTTTACAATTCATAGAGCCCAAGAATATGTGGAGATGGTAGGCCTAGAGTAACAACAGTAGTGTAGGATGAATATCTGACCATTACTACTATGCAGCATAGGTTTATCAATACTCAAAGCCTCCAGGAATAACTTCAGCAGGCATACAGAGTTGATGTTCTTGGAGAAACAAGTGGAAAGCATCTAGACATTGCTGGTTTACATGCCATAAGACTAGCCATATGCCCACCTTTGACTTTGAGAATGTGGATGTGTGAAATGGATAGTGGACGAGTAGACCTCTGTATTATATTTTATGTACCACAGTGATATGCTTATCACATTGAATATATTCTGTAGAATGCTACACAAAAAAAAACATGGCTGCATTTTAGAGATGGTCTAATCATGACATGAGCTAGCATTAGCTAGCACAGTTCTACTATTTAAACACCATGCAGAAACAAAGAGTGACCGACTACAAGCATAAATAGGAAATTCTCATGATAATGTGAAGCCAGTTGCAGATGCAGATGGCTCATCTTTCATCCTGATGACTTCTGTGAAAGAGGATACTGCGTGATGGTTGAATTGGAGTATCTTGAAACGAGGAATATCGTGTGTTCTCATCTAATGTAAACTCACTTTAACTCTTCTGTGACGTACTATGTTGACAACTGTGTATTTATAATTAATGCAATCATAAAACTTTAAGAAACTTCAGAATGCACTCACAGATGAATGGTAGCACTTTGATTAAACTGAAGCTATAGTCCACAGTTTATCAGATCTGTGTCAGTGGAAGTCATACACAGATTGAACTGAAACTAAAGCTATAATCCACAATATATCAGCTCTGTGTAAGGGGAATTCATACACAGATTGAACTGAAGCTATGATCAATGATATATCAGATCTGTGTAATACACAGATTAAAGAACCGTTGCAACTTAACAGTATTTTTTAAAAGTGTATGAATGATGTCAGTGTTGCACACTACAAATATCACACGTTCATAATGTGTATGTGTTTGAGTATGCTGTATGATCTGGAACTTCATTGCTTGTTGTAAAGAATGTTTAGTGAAACATTAACGGTTCTCAAAAAAAAAGGTGCGTGTCCTTTTCATTATTGGGAGAATTATTATGTCTCAATGCTTAAGTTTTGTGGAAGAGTGTCATTTCTATTAGTTCATCAAAACAAGCTATTCAAATATTATTGCTTCATTTATTTTGCAATAACTAAATAGAGTAGGTATATTCATAATGTCTACTTGGTACATATATTTTGAAATGCTTTTCATGTTATTTACAGGTATATTATAGCTTGTAATACATCGTGATAATAATTATAAAATATGGTACAAGTAAAGCCACTTTATAGTGTGTTACTAAAACATATTTGCTCGAAGGTCTTTTTCAGGAAAATCCAACAGAGCCTCCCATTTCCTTCCTCAGGGTTAGTGCAGAATCAGGTGAAGGAAGTGTCAGAGACGATGGATTTGATTGGCCAAGGTATTTATACATCCATAAATTTACAAAAAAATAATAACTTGTTTTACTATGCTTGTATGCATGACCCATGTAACTGTTGGCTTGAAAGTCAGTTTTTTTACAAATACCATAGTTAAGTAAAATCATGTGCTAGGCCACTTTGTTGGAAGAAATGGTGTCATAAACAATAGTCTAAAGTATTGTAAAACTATTGTAAAGTTTTATCTCATGCTATTTTATACATAGAATATACCAGTTTGTGTACATGTGTTAAAAAAAAGATGTAACTTCTCTTTACCTTGGACTGAGGACAAAATATGATGATGGCCTTGAGTTACGAAACTTGAGATTTTGTAAACAGAGACAAAAGTCCAGCTTAATCTCAAAGCACCTTGGAACAATTTAGTGTAACTATGTAAGAAAGGAAAGACTAAAAGTAGATTATGAGAAATAAAATAATTCCATGCTTCAGATGTGCAATATTTACAATTTGTTAGCTTCAGAAACTTGAAGATTGTAAAACAGACTTGTGAATAATTGAATTTTACAGCTCTCATTATCAATAACTTCAAGCTTTCACAGTTTTGAAACCATTTAAGCTAAAAATAAGCCTTATATGAATGCAAAGTTACTAGATTTATGGATTAGTTTTGTCCTCTGATAACAAGCATTTGGGTAAGAACAGTTATGAATTGTTATATGTTAGTTCTCTGATGAGTTGTATTTGCACAGGTAGGAAATTTAATGTTTTCAGTCATCTCAGTATGAATTACAATGGGGGATAAAGATAGAAAATTAGGGCTAGAAGTTTCTTTTTTTTTAATTACTTCACCAGAACAAATATTAATAAAACTTGTATCAAAAGAAAATTCAAAATCTCCACATTTTCAGTTATAATTTTATTTTGGAGGTATTTTGAGGGGATAAATCACACAATTTTTCAAAACTTGGTATTTCAAAACATTTTGTTCCTGTAATAACCCAAGATAATGGGTAGGATAGGGTTAATACTTTTATAACAAGGCAGGTGTTAGGCTATTTATCAGAATTTAGTTTAAAATAACAAGGAAAATCCTCGTAGGGAAACTTCATTTTATATGTATTATAGTGATTATAAACACACACATACACTGGATTATGTAGTTTATTTTTTAACTAATGGTGTTAAGTTAAAATAATTACATTCCAGGACTTTCAGTAAAAGATACATTTTTAGAAACATTTCATATTTCAAGAATCAAGAATTCGTAAGTGATTTCACCTAAGTATAAAAAAACAGGAAACCAAATCATAAAAATTATTATTATTATTCTTCAATTCAAGAACCAAGTGTTAAACTATTCAATCTATAAGCCAAATTGAAAATAAAATATTGATCTTGAAATTTAAAATACCCTCTTTCTTTGTAATATGTTTCATAAAATAGTTTAAGTTTTAATCATGAAACTGTTCTAAATGTTTATTTCAATTTCAGGTTTAGTAATTTCAGTGATCTTGTTTTAATATATAGGCTTGTGATTAAGGTTAGTCCCCTCCAGTCTGTGTCCGTACTAGAGACAGAAGTCCTTTCTGACAAGGAAGAACCATACAACAGCAACTCCTTTGACTCTTTCATCTGTCAAGTGGATGTGGCAGAACCATCTCCTTTTGCTTCACGACAGGTTGTTTATGAGACAAATCATTACGATCATGGAGAAAACAAAGAAAAGCAAAGACAAGAGTCAGGGTCTGAGACTGATCAGGTTGGTGAATGTTTATGTTGATTAAACAGATTAGTGTTGTTTTTTCTCAACAGTGTGTTATGTTCTATATAACATAATAATATAGACTTAGTATTTTCACTTCACAAACATCTAGTTTGAACCAGTGCTGCATTCAACATTCCACGTGACATCCAAAAATTGATGTTTATCTGTGTTTT